CGTGGGTCTGACTGCTGGGGACCTGCTCCCCCTGCCCTCCGCCAGGACTTCCAGCCTCCGGGGACGGCGGGGACGCCGCGGGCAGCCTGTGTGTGGAGTACGAGCAGGAGTCGGTTCACACCCAGCGAAGGCCTGTGGGGCTGCTGGCCGCCCTGGAGCACAGCGAGCAGCTGGCCCAGAGGCCTGGGGAGGAGGAGGTATGGGTGCAGGGGCTCCAGAGATGGACACAGACCCAGGCTCTGCCTGTCTGTTCGCAGGCACCTGCACACTCATCCCATAAGTCCCCTTGTTGGGCAGGTGGTTGGGGTTCAGCACACACCCAAGCCCCTGCTGGGGCTCCCCAGCACCCTCTCGCTGGGCTCCCCCGCCCCCGCTGGGCTCTGACATGGTCCTCTCAGGCGTCCTGCTGCGCCTTCGGGAGCTGGACGGTGGCCAGCTCCTGCCCAGCGGCTTTTGCCCAGAAGTCGCAGCTTTGACCTGGAGGACCTCTGTCCTGCGGGGCGGCACCTCCTGCTCCCCCCATCAGCGCCATCAGCCACTACAAGACCATGTGCCGGGCCTGCTCTCGGACTCTGCCCCAGCTGACCTCACTGTGGCCCACACAGTGTCACCCGGGGCTTCGCAAAGGGCCCGAGGGTCTGGGCTGGGACAACGACTGTGTGACCTCTCCCCCCCTCCCCTCCCGGCACAGTGTCACTCCGGCCCGGCCCTCCCCGGGGAGAAGAGGACTGTGGCGGAGCAGAGAGCGGCCAGGAAGAAGATCAGGCTGGTCAGCTGCCAGGTGGGTGAGCCACCCAGACCCCCTGGGGATGTGGTGGGAGCCAGGCTGGTGCGGCTCTTGGTGCTCTTACCCATGGCCGGCCCTGACCCAGCAGAGTGAGGTGTGAGCCGCCAAGCCTGCGCCATTCTCAGGGTGGGAGGCGTGGCTGGGCCGGGCCGGGGTGCGGGAGCTGGTGCTGTGCGGCTCTGATGGGCCCCGCCTTGGTTTTGCCGAACATTTACTGTGAGGTGCAGATTTGCGTCTTGGTCCTGACAGTACCGACTGGCCTCCCCGCCCAGGCTCCTTTGGCCCAGGTGCTTACTGGTGCGGGGCCCGGCCTGCCCAGGTCCCTCCTCGTTCAGCCTTTCACGGCGGGAACACGCGACTCCCACAGAGTGTGCGAGAACACGTGCCGGGTGCCGCAGCGGCTCCCGCCGAGACGCACACGGGGCCTGCACACGTGGTCAGGTTGGGCCTTTCAGACACAGAAGGCCCTGCCCCCAGCAGGCGGGAGTCAGGCCCTGCCCTGGAGGCTGCAGCCAGGCTGGCTCCCACAGCAGTGCTGGGCCCGGCACGAGGTGGAGGCCCACACCGGGAGGGTCTGTCCCCACCCTCAGATGAAAGCAGTTGAGAGCAACTGAGGAGACAGCCTGGGCCGAGAAGCCTCGGGAAGCCCCGCACATCCTTTGCCTGTCTCTCACTTCTGGGAAAAAGCAGGCGGGTGTCAGGAAGTGGGCTGGGTGCCAGGGGCCAGCCTGTGTCGAGGGCTGCGCTGGGCAGACCAGAGAACCTGGCTTCCACGCTTCCTGTCCAGGCCCATGTCGGGGCCTAGGCACAGTGGACATGGAGCTGCACACCCCGGCCCCAGGGTTTGAGAGGTGTCCCTTGCTGTGAGCTGCCCACCCCCCGGCCAGGAGCGTCCTCTGAGCTGAGTGCCGCTGCAGCTGCACCGGCCCTGGGCGACCATCCTGGAGCCCGGCGGGGGCAGGAGGCGGCCAGAGGGCAGCCCAGGGCCTCACCCACCTGTGCTAGCCCTGAGGAGTGGCCCCCCGCGCCCCTCCTGGCCGCCCTCAGCGGGACCCTGCTGCCTGCCGGCCGCACGCAGACAGTGAGGGTCGGAAGGCTGGCGTGTCTGACGGGTCCTGGTTGTGCCCACAGGAGGGGCCGGCGGCAGGGGCACAGGCGGACAGAGCCACGCTTTTCCTGGTGTCCGTGAAGCAGGCGCTGAGCCGGGCCAGCTTTGCCACCTTCACGCGGGCCCTGCAGGAGTATAAGGGCTCGGACGACTTCCAGGCTCTGGTGGACCACCTCAGCCCCCTCTTTGCCCAAGACCCTGAGAAGCACAGCCTGCTCCAAGGTGCCTTGAGGGGTGCCGCAGCCAGGGTGGGCAGAGGACACCGGTGAGCCTCCCTGTGCTGCAGCATGTGGCCCCGCACACCGACACCCCCTCCCACAGGCTTCTGCCAGTTTGTGCGGCCACACCACAAGCAGCGGTTTGAGGAGCTCTGCCTCCACCTGACGGGCAGAGGCTGCCGCCACCCGCCTGAGCACAGCCTTCCGCGTGGGCAGTGGGCACAGCCAGCCCTGGACCCCGGTGGTGAGCGGGGCTTTCCGGCAGGCTGAGGGCTGGCACCTGGGGTCCTGAGCTTGGTCTAGCCTCCCTGTCTCCTTAGGGGCCAATGGGGGCACCATGTCGACCCCCAGAGCACAGACGGCTGTCATCTTACCCACACCGGGGCCCTGGAGCCCCCGTCCCTCCCCCAGAGGGGGCCCTGCCCTGGGTGGGACTTCCTCAGGGACACCGCCCGGGGAGGGGACTTTCCAGCCCCAGAGTCACTCCCTCCTGGGTTTGGTGCCACAGGGCGTCTCTCCGAGCAGCCAGTTCCACCGGCCATGCAAGTCAGGCCCGAGGAGGATGTGAGCACCAGATCTGCCCCCTCAGGGACCAGCTGGGGGACTCGGGTCTCCTGTGCCTCAGGAAGGAGGGAGCCTGTCCCCAAGGTGACCCTGTCCCAGAGTGCGGCCAGGCAGCTGGACACTGGAGGGCACCTGAACTGCGGCCAGCCTCACCTGGCCTCCTGGCCCCCACCCGAAGGTACATGGCCCTGAGGAGGCTCTGACCAGAGCCAGGAGCAGAGCTGAAGCCCTCGGAGGGAGGAGCCTCCTGGGGGCTCTGGGCCGACACAGTCTCTCCTTCCCTAGGAGACGCTGGCCTCTGTGCACAAAAGGGGCGCGGCGCTCCGCAGGCCCAGAAGCCAAGCCCGCCTGTCGTGAGCACCTACCTGGCGGATGCCCGCAGGGCCCTGGGGGCTGGGGGCTGCAGGCAGCTCCTAGCAGCACTGACCACCTACAAACGGGATGACAACTTCGAGAAGGTGGTGGCTGTGGTGGCAGCGCTGACCACCTCGAGGCCTGAGGACTTGCCCCTGCTGCAGAGCAAGTTTCTGAGGGGCCTTGGAGGGGCTCTGGGAAGGGGACTGGGGACGGGGCAGGTCCTGAGCATCGGCCCCCCCTTCCCCCCCGCCCGCCCGCAGGGTTCAGCATGTTCGTGCGCCCACACCACAAGCTGCGCTTCTGGCAGATGTGGGCAGACCTCACCGGCCAGCCTACCCCAGACACAGGCACCATGCCCCCGGGACTCCAGGAAGGGAGCTCCGAGGCGTTTCCCAGCCTCACCGCCCGGGCGCTCCAGCCAGGTAGGGGGACCTGCTGGTGCTCCTGCCCCCTCCCGTCACCCAGAGCCCTGTGCAGCCTTGGGAGGCACGGGCAGCAGAGGTGCACCAGCTGCCCCTTGGACTCCCTCCTCTGTGCCCAGGCCCCTCCGACCAAGAGAGACCAGGGAGGACGCAGAGCAAAATCTCCTCCTTCCTCCGGCCACGGCTGAACCCCCAGTGACCCCACGGACAGTCTAAGTGGGTAGGTCTCGTGGGTGTGGCTGCCAGCAGAGGAAGCCGTCCTTTCCCTGTGTCCCTCCTACTGACAGCACCACTGGGTCTTGACCAGCCCTCAGGGGAACGACTGCCGGCCACCACCCAAGTGGGGGAGGAGGGAGGGGAGAAAAGGGAGGGGGGCCTGGCAGGTGTGGCCAGCGTCCGCCATGTCTTCCCAGAACCCCAGGAGGACATGGTGTACTGGACCGGGGCGCCCCACCAGGAAGAACCACAGGCCACTCTTCTGGAGACGCCTGGGCCACCCTCCCTGGACGCAGCGGGGCACTTGTCTGCTGGCTCAGGGTGGGCCAGGCCCAGCACCAGCAACCCTTTGGTCCAGAGCCGATCGTCAGGCCGGTCTGTGCAGGGGCAGCCATGAGACGGCACCCGGGAGAAGCCCTGCAGCCCCGGGGGTGGGGTGCGCGGAGGGTGCACCCTGGGCCGTGCTGGCCTGCCGGAGGCGGGCCGAATAAAACCGCTGGCACATGGGAAAGCTGTTCGCGTTGCCTGGGCTTGGTGGTGGAGTTTGAGATGCCAGAGAGGAAGGAGGGGGCATCTGCCCGGGGTCCCCCGTCCACCCTATCCCGCGAGAGGGTGCCTAAACTTGGCTCAGCCTCCATCCTTGCAGCTGGACAGGAAGACACTGACACCAGAGGGGAGAGGAACCTGCCTGCCCGCCCCCCTTATACACCCTGACAGCTTTGTCACTGGGTCACAGGCTGTGCCTGGTGATAGGGGGCCTCACAGGACTGCCTCCTGCACGGGAGGGGGGGGAGGGGGCCTGGCCAGGTGAGGGTGCTGAGACTGTGCCCAAAACTGGGTCAGAACATGCCCTAGCTGGTTTGGCTCAGTGGAGAGTGCTAGTCTGCAAACTGAAGGGTCATGGGTTCAATTCCAGTTAAGGGCACATGCCAGGTCACAGGCTTGAACCCTAGTGGGGGGTGTGCAGGAGGCAGCTGACCAATGATACTCATCATTGATGTTTCTCTCTCTTCCTTTCCCTTCTTCCCTGAAATCAATAAAAATAAATTTCAAAAACAAAATGAACTGGGTCAGAACACGGCCTGCTGGAGGTCACCAGCCCCTCCCCGGGGTTTGGAGGCCAGCCCTAATAGGAGGCGCTGGGCCAGAGCTGGAGGTCTCTGGTTGGCTGCAGGTGGGGTGGGCGGGGCCTGCTGTGCCGGACGGGTGGGAATGTGGCTGGGCGGACTGGCGCCCCGCCGAGTCCTGCTCCGGGGAGGATCATGAAAGCACCGGTGAGGCTGCCCCTGGTCCTGCCGAGGGCACTGCCGCTCCTGCTGATGCTGGCCATGCTCGGGGCAGCGGAGGACGTGCCCACCTACCCGTGGTGGGACGTGGACAGGCGGGAGTGGCTGATGTGTGGCCAGTGCCCCCCAGGCACCTTCGTGCACCAGCCGTGCAGCCGGGACCACCCCACGACGTGCCGCCGGTGCCCGCCTCTCCACTACACGCAGTTCTGGAACTACCTGGAGCGCTGCCGGTACTGCAACGTGGTCTGCGGGGAGCACGAGGAGGAGGCGCGGCCCTGCTCTGTCCTCCACAACCGTGCCTGCCGCTGCCGCCCAGGCTTCTTCGAGTTTGCGGGCTTCTGCCTGGAGCACACGCCTTGCCCGCCGGGCTATGGAGTGGCTGCCCTTGGTGGGTGCCGGGCACCGTGGGTGGCCTGCCAGGGCTCTCCATGAGAATGCTCTGGGTCACCCTGACCCTGTCCTCCCCTCTCGTCCCCAGGCACCCCCACCCAGGACACACAGTGCCAACCATGTCCCCCAGGCACCTTCTCCGCCAACAGCTCCAGCTCAGAGCAGTGCCAGCCCCACAGCAACTGCACAGCCCTGGGCCTGGGCCTGAACGTGCCGGGAACCCCCTTCCGTGACGCCATGTGCACCAGCTGCACAGGACCCCCACTCAGCACTCCAGAGCCAGGGAGTACAGGTGACTGGACGGGGGCAGGTGGGGGGGATAGAGGGGACTGCAGATGAGGGGAGGTTGGCCAGGGGGTGGCAAACTCAGCCTGTGTCCTCCCCCAGCTCTTGGCCAGTCCAGCCCTGGAGCCATTTAGCAGGCATCTGGGAAGTGCCTCCAGCCTCATGGGGTCAAGGGTCCTCAAGACCCACCGAGGAGCCCTGGGTAGTGGCAGTGGCACCATGGAGTGCACTGTGCTGATGGCTTTAGCGTTGGCTAGCAATGCTGTTCCCACCCATCACTGGGTGCCCAAGTCAGCAGAGCGTCCCCTCACCCCAGGCCCACATCTTGGGGCCGCCCCGCCCACCACCCTCCTGGCCCGAGAGCCAGCAGGTCACTCAGGGGTTAACGCCGGGACACTAGGAGGGCTGTGTGCAGGGAGCCCTCACCCAGGAACTGGCCAACCCTCCCACAGGGACCGAGGAGTGTGAACGTGCCCTCGTGGACTTCGTGGCCTTCCAGAACGTGTCCTTCCGGAGGCTCCTGCAGCTGCAGCAGGCCCTGTCAGGCCCGGGGGCTTGGGCTCCCCGCCGGCCCCAGGAGGACCGCCTGTCCTTGCAGCAGACGCTGCGGAGGCAGCTCACGAAGCTGCGCGAGGCCCGGCCAGGGGCGCTGGCGGCAGGGCTGCTGCAGGCCCTGCGCACGGCCGGGCTGCGGGGGGTGGCGCGCACCGTCCGCCAGCGCTTCTCCCTGGCCAGCTGAGCCCGTCTTTATTCTACCCAGCAGGCACCAGGCTGTTCTTATAAAACCTTCTGTAAAGCTGACCGTCCAGAACTGCTGTGTGACGGTGGTGGGCTGAGGCAGACCTTGGCAGGAGGATTATGGGAAATGGCCGGTGGGTGGCAGGAGTGGCCTTTCCTCTGTGGGGCACAAGGGAGCCGAGGCTCACTCCACGGCCCGGCCCCACACTGAGCTCTGGGTAGTTGGGGGTGGAGGGTAAGTCAGGGCCAGTCAAGACGTGGCAGTGCCCAGGAGGGTCACCAAGTCCAGGGGCTCTGCTGAGAGAGGACTCAGCGGATTGCTGCGCCCACGCCCCTCCTTTTGAGTTCCACCCACTCCTACCAGCAGGGGACTTCCCAGAAGGGACCAGTGTCCCACGGGCTTTCTGGGAAATGGCTTTTCCCTGTGGGGCAGGCTCACACCTTCAACATGAGGGAACCCAGGGAAAAGGGACTAGATCGCTCCAGGGTGGGGGATGGGACTCCCAGCCCTAGCTGCCCCTACTTCGCAAAAGGCTCAGGATTTCCCATGAGTCACTTCCCCTGCCACTGGGTCCCCAGCCCCACTCCTGACTCATCCCTTTCCCAGAAGCTCCTTCAGGCCCCCCTGGGAGGGGAGTCTGGTGGGACCTTCCTGGAACATGAAGCTGGCAGGTCCTGGCTGTGGCCCAGCCATTCAAACAGCCTCGATGCCCTTGGGCTGTGGCTACTACACAGGCTCAGAGTAAAGGTGCTAGGAGCCACGCAGACTCTTTATTTTCTGCACAGGCCCCTGGCCAGGCTGCTGGTCACCGGCTCCCCCAGGGGCCATGTGAAGAGGGGCCCCAAGACCAGCCTTGCCTGCAGGGCCTATGCTGCTGGGCACAGGCCTGGAAGAGGGGATACACTCCTCACGCTCAGCTGGGAGCACAGGCCCAACACACCACCCAACACCCCACGTCCAGGTCACCCAGCCCCCGACACATCCCTGAGCTGGCAACTGTGGCTGCCCCAGGTGGAGGCAGGTGTGCTAGGGGCCTCCCGCTCCCCTTGCCACTCCCTGATGTCGGTGCCGGTGGTGGTGGTGGCAGGGTCCATCAGGGCTAGTCAGATCACACTTAGCCCAGTCCTGAGGCTGCATGAGCGCTCAGGACCTGCTGGCCTTCGGGGATGTGGGTTAGACCCCCTTAAGGTGACACCAGCTCCCAGCCCGCCTCCATGATCAGAGGAGGCAGGGGCAAGGCCAGCAGGGCCCCAGACTCCTTCGTAGGCATGCTGCGGTTGGGATTCCTGAAGCCCTGCCCAGGCCAGGCTGGGGCAAACAGCTCCAAAGGGCACCCACAGGGCCGAAAACTGGGCCTCAAGTGGGCCCTGCCCCCCACTCCCCTGGCAGAAGCCTCCGGGCGCCTACACTTTTCAGGACACAAAAGTCTGTCTTAGAGGAAAAACAAAAGCAAATGAAAACTCCAAAGGCAAAGCCAGCCCAGCCCCGGGACCGGTGGCTCCAGCTGGCAGGTGTACTCCTCCGCTCAGGCCCCAGCTGTGCGCCAGGTGCCGTGCACCTACGTGATGTCCCTCTGCCGAGGCGGCCGGTGCACATTCCGCACCACGCACTTCACCATCCACTCGATGCCCTCGCGCACTCCTTTGCTGTGGAGACAGTAGGTATGAGGTGGGGCCACGGGGACCCTGGGGCAGGGTGAGGGCCCACTCACCCTGTGAGGGCGGAGCAGGCCTGGGTCAGGCAGTCCCGTCGGCCGATCTTGGAGGTGCAGTCACTGAACGCAGTCTTGATATCCGGAATGGAGAGGCAAGTCTGGGGGAGAGGGGGCAGGTCATAAGGCACAGCCTGTCCCTCCTAAAGCCACTTCCCGGCATCAGAAAAATTGTCCGGCCCTCAGGGCAATCCCTAGAGCTGCCAGAGGTCAAAGGGGCATGAGCTCAAAGATGGAGGCTGAGGACGGGGTGGGGGGCCAAGGTGGCCCCTTCAGAGCTTCTCTGCCCAGCAGGGTCCTGCCTGGTTGAGTGGCCTCAGACAGCTGGTCACAGGCGGACGGGAGCAAACTAAGATGCACCTCAGGATGCTGTAAACCCCCACCCTGCGCACAGCCTTTCCCTGGGGGTTTGGCTGACTGGTGTCCCCAGAACGGCCTGTGTCCCTCCCCAGACAGCCCCTGGTTTGGGGGGTAGGGCTGGCACTGCTGTCAGCTCCAAGAGCAGCTCTGACACCACCCTGAAAAGACACCACCTTTGTCTCCTCTCTAGAGCTTTCTGTGGGTCACATGGGTCTCCCAGAGCCACAGAGAACAGGACAGGGGGCAGCCACACACACCTCCCCTCCCTGGAGAGGAAGTGCCCTGCACAGCCAGGAGAGGCCTCAGGAGGGCTCTGTGCACCTGGGCAGACACCGTGCAGGGTGTCCGAGGAAGGTGGGGCAGGCTCACCTCAACATCCTGCTTGTTGGCCAGGACCAGGATGGGGACACCGTCCAGAGCTTCGCTTGTGACCATCTTCTCTGAAATGGGCAAGAGGGGCATCAGCACCCCTTTGTCCCCCTGACCACCAGCCCACCAAGGAGTCCATACATGCCTACCAACCTCTCCATGGCCAGGACCCTCTGACCTGACATGGCCCAGCTAGACACCCAGCATGTGCGGACTGAGCATGAACAGCCCGGCCCCGGTTGGGCTGTACCCACCGAAAGCTTCCTTGGACTCCGACAGTCTCTCCTCGTCTGTGGAATCGATGACATAGATGACACCGTGGCACTCGGCGTAGTACTGGGGAGGGCAGAGAGCGAGCTATGAGCATTTAGCCAACTCCCACCTGCAACACCCTTATCTGGGGTGCTTTCTGTGGATGGGGAGGTAGGGCGGCATGGAGGTGCGCCCCCCTAAGCCCCTCAAAGGAAGGACTTGCTGACCTTGGACAGGGGTAGCCACTTCCACTGACTACTTCCTAGGGGCTGTATCCCTTATCCTACTTCAGGGCCGGCTTCTGCAAACCACCCACACGGGCCTGATGGTGGCCCGAAGGGAGAAATGGGGCTTGAAGGCTGGAGGAGCCCAGACCAGGTGGTCCCCAAGCAGACCCGGAAGTGGAGCACACCAGAGGCGCCTCGTGCTGGCACTGACAACAAGCCAAGAAAGGCCTCCAAGGGCTAGGCCGGTGCCTCCTGTGAAGCAGTGCCGTGTGTGGATGGCAGGCAAACGGACCAAGCCAGCTGAGCTTGGAGCTGCGTGTTCCGGATGATGCCAGAGGGCAGTCAGCCATAAGCTTGCTGACAGCAAGGGTCATGGGGAGTCCTCTGCCAATCCTTACTACCGAGCGCGGGCCTGAGGCCAGTGAAACATGTGCAGAGGCAGGGCCTTCTGAGACGGACTGCCTGGGCCTGGGGCGCCAGGGACACAGCCACACACTGGCAAGTCCACATTCTGCAGCAGCCAGAAGAGCCCTGGCACCATCCACTGCGGGGCACACAGAACCTCGCCACTGGGCTGTGCTGTGGACTAGGCAGGATGACCCAGCTGTCAGCAATCTGAAAGAGGCTCTGGAACATTCCTGAGGGTGACGCCCACCCCATCGAAGACAAGCCTTTGTCTGTACTTGCTAGAGGCGGCCCTACGTTTGCAGGCTGTGCTCCCTGCACACCAGCCTTCGTGCCGAGTGAGCACACTGTTCATGCCGAGTGAGTGTGCATACTGCACGCCCTGCATGCCAGCCTTCATGCTGAGTGTGCACACTGTGCGCCTGCACACCAGCCTTCGTGCCGAGTGTGTGTGCACACTGCGCGCCCTGTACGCCAGCCTTCGTGCCGAGTGAGTGTGCACACTGTGCGCCCTGTACGCCAGCCTTCGTGCCGAGTGCCGTAGCTGTCCGGCACACTGGCCTGCTGCTGATGGAGCTGCTGGGCCGCCGCAGAGGGCCTGGGCAGAAAGGAGCCTCTCTCCGGACTGGCAGCCGGGGAGAGAAGCGCACCCAGCCATGCGGTGGCAGAGACTGCACTGCCCGAGTGTCTGGGTCCCGGCAGGGTGACGGCTCAATGATGAGAGTACACATCTGGGTGGAGTGTGAGCAGGCTGCCCCACCTCACCCAGACCTGATGGTTGTATCCCCCATGGCCCCGTGGGAGAACCCACCAAACCACTGGCACCAGGGAAGAGCTTGTGGGTGGACAACAGCAGCCCTAGAGGGACAGAGGCCAGAAGTCCCCCCTGGGCTGAGCGCCAGGCGGTCTCCCTATCCAGGCATTGGTGAGGGGCAGGGGCCCTGCTCAGCACTGCCATTGCCCTGGGCTCTGCCCCAACCCCATGGCGCCAGGCTCAGTGGAGCTGGTCAGTGCAGCGCCCGCTCACCAGTCACAAACCCTGGCTGCCCCCTGGGCATCTTGGCAGAGAGCCCATCCTGGTGAACGTAACTGACCCTACCACGAGAGGTGGGGTGCCCTCCACAGTGGGGCCAGGAAGCACCTGAGAAACTCATGGGGTCCATCAAGAAAGAGGGCTCAGCCGAAACCGGTTTGGCTCAGTGGATGGAGCGTCAGCCTGCGGACTGAAAGGTCCCGGGTTCGATTCCGGTCAGGGGCACGTACCTTGGTTGCGGGCACATCCCCAGTAGGGGGTATGCAAGAGGCAGCTTGTCAATGTTTCTCTCTCATTGACGTTTCTAACTCTCTATCCCTCTCAATTCCTCTCTCTATAAAATCAATAAGATATATTAAAAAAAAGAAAAAAAAGAAAGAGGGCTCAAACCCTCATTAGGAGGCCACACCAACACACAAGTGGTGGCTTAGGGGTACCATACCAACTGCAAAGCCAGCCTGTAGTCCCCCCTTTCCTGTCCCTCTCCCAGCTTCCGCTTACAGAGGCCCTGGACTTGGAGGAGCCGTCCCCAAGCAGAGGTGTGAATTCAATGGCACAGGAGGCCTGCACAGAAACGGTCATCACTGAGGCCTGGCTGCCCAGGGATGGGCAGGATGCCAAGTGGCCCACCAGGTAACAGGGAGTCCTAGCCAGCGTGGCCCGCCTGGGCAGCATGAGAAACCACTTCCCCGCAAGGCTCCCCACTGCCCTCCCCAGGATGATCTCGCCCTGTCCAGTCCTGCACCTCCCCACTCCCTTACCAGGTGCTGACCTCCAACACTAACCCTGTACCCCAACCTCTGCCTATTAGCTCCGGAGATCCCGGCCTACAAAGGTCAGGATCTGTGTTCACTCCCCATGGTCTGGGACTCAGACGTGTAGGCTGGAGCTTGGCTCTGCCTCAGGATAGCCACAGGCAGAAGCTGCCCTCTTGGCTAGAAGTCCAGGCAGGAGGAAACACTTGGGTGGTTGGGGGGAGGGGAGATAGCAAAGGGTGACTGGGTACCTGTTGCTGGGATCAGTTCTAAACACATGGGCCACCAGGAGGTGCTGGGAAGACATGCCTGTGCCCCAGCATTAGACTACACACCAGTCACCGAGGGAGCTGTGGGGGAAGGAGGTGGTCTCCTCTCCACGGCCACACCCAGTGCCGGTGCTGACTCTGGCTGGGGAGTGGGGAAGGGCACCACCACCTCAGAAATGCCCAAACCCTGTGTCAGAAGAGGGCGGCGCTGCGGCCTTTGAGGGCCTTTGCCTGGAGGACGGTCCTCAGCCAGAACGGAGAAGGCGGTGGGGAGGCCAGGCCTGCGGCTGCTGCGCACGCGGGCGCTGTGCCTTCACACCTGGCTCTGGGCCGCCTTGTCTCGCCCTGTGCTCACGAGCAACATTTCTCCGCCAAAGGAAGCAAGTGGATCCCCACCCTCAGGGGACTGTTTCAGGAACCAGGGTAGAAGGGGGGGGGGGGGAGAGTTGTCAGGAACAAAGAGAGTGACAGCTGCTGACGGGAAGTGAAGGTGAGTCTGCGGACCTCTGTGAGAAGCGGGAGCTGCATGAGGGTGCCACCTGGAGGGAAGTGGCAAGAGGCCGGTGGCCTGTGCATCTGTCTCACCTTGTCCCACAGAGACTGCAGCTCCTCCTGCCCCCCTAAGTCCCAGAACATGAGCCGAGCCTTCCCCACGTCCACAGTGCCGACTGAGGAGAGAAGAATCCGGTGAGGCTGTGGCCCCGGCCATGACAGTCTCCCCGCTCCCCTGGAAGAGCACCCTGCTCCCGTGCTCCCGAGATGGCCCTCCAGGAGCGGCGGCCGCACACACAGGGCTCAGGCCCAGGGATGTCCCAGAATCCTCTGGGCTAGGCCCCACACCCACAGCCCTGGGCGACCCCCTTACTGTTCAGCCCCACGGTGGTGGTGATTTTGGAGAGACTCATCCCCTTGTAGTTCTTGCTAAACCGGGTTTTGGATTGCTCCAGGAAGGTCTGAGAGGGAGGAAGAGACAGGCACTAGAGTCGTTTTCAAGGCGGTTCTCCTTATGTCCCTCCTCCGCCTCATTCCGAAAATAGACGTTTTGCTGTAGGAGCAGCTGGTGGTGACTGTCCCGTGGCCTTGGGTGGGGAATGAACTCGGCGTCCCAAGGCCTTGGGTGGGGATTGGATTCGGAGCAGGCAGGGGAAGGGCAGGCCAGCGGGGCCTGGGACGGGGAAGCATACCGTCTTCCCGGCATTGTCCAGGCCCAGGATCAGGATGCAGTACTCGTCCTTCTGGAACACGTACTTGTACAGCCCCGACAGCAGCGTGTACATCCTGCCAGGGGGCCAGGCGCTGAGTCCAGGTCCCCGGGACCGCCCAGCCTCCCCACCCCCGCGCAGGCCTGACGCGGCCCCCGTCCAGGACCCCGCCCCGCAATGCCTCCTACACCGCCTCCAGCTCCCAGCGGAGCGCGCCGGCGCCGCCAGGGATCCGCTTCCCCCGCCAGACGGGGGTCCCCACGCCTTCGCTCAACTCGGTCCCGCCCTCCCGGCGGCGCCGGGCTCGCGGCAGGGCCCCTGAGGCGACATACGTGGAAGCCCGGCTCCGGAGGCGGGTGTGGAGCTGCGGCCGGTAGGCGGGAGGCCCCGGAGCCCCGCCCCCAACGCCGGCGTCAGGCCGGCGCCCAGCCCCGGCCTACCTGCGCCACCGGCCGGAGCCGCCGCGCGCCCGACCCGGTGACCCCACGCCGACCCGCGCTGCTCCGCGCAGTGCCCGATGGGAAGCGGCCGGGGAGGGTGTGAGCTGTCCCGGCGGCCCCGTGATAGGCACTTCCGGCTGCAGCGGCGCTCGGGAGGAAGTGCTTGCCGGCTGCGGTGCCGGAAGCCGGAAGCCGCGTGCCGTGCCGCTCTAGCCGGTGAGGTTGGCCGCCTTTCTATGGCGCGGCCGGGTGACTGCACAGAGGAAGCTCCCCGCCCGGGGCGAGGGGCGCGGTCTGGGCACCCCGTCGCTGGTGGCAAGTCTGGCGGAGGCCGGTGGGCCGGGAGGCTGGGGCTAGGGGCAGCGTCCTGAGCGGACTCGGGAGTTAGGAGGCGGGGGACGCGGGGCCGAGAGGCTGAGAGGCTGAGAAGCCTCGCGGTAGTACCGGGCGGCCGGGAAGGGAGCCGAGGCCACTTGGAGTGTAGCATCTCTTCGAGCCTGTTTCTCGTCCTTCAAACGGAGGAGAAGCGCACACGGCTCCGCGGGCCGTCTTGAAAGATCGGCAAAGTCCCGAGTGCAGCTGTCGGGCCCGGGCTTGGTGTCAGCCTCAGGGCAGCGGCTTGGCAGTTCAGGCGGCAGATCCCGGGCTCACCTGGTTTCCCTTCCTTGCAGCTCTGCTCCCACTACCCCCGTGAGGACCCAGGACCTGCCCTGCCGACCCGAGAAGCCAGGTTTTCCCCCGCATGATGGACGAGGAGAGCCTACAGAGCGCGCTCCGGACCTACGGCGCACAGCTGCAGCAGGTGGAGCTGGCCCTGGGTGCTGGCCTGGATCCCGCCGAGCTGGCCGACTTGCGCCAGCTCCAGGGAGACCTGAAGGAGCTGATCCAGCTCACGGAGGCCAGCCTGGTGTCTGTGCGGAAGAGCAAGCTGCTGGCCACCTTGGACGGAGAACGCCCAGACCAGGACGCCGCCGAGTACCTGGCTTTCCAGAAGGCTGTTGCTGAAGCAGTGGAGGTGCCAGTAGCCTCCAGCGCAGAACTGGACCCTGTTCCTGAGAAAAAGGCTGGGCCAGCACCCAGCGAGCCTGGACTGGAGGAGGATGAAGGGGAGGACTTGGAGGATGAGGGAGAGCTGAGTGGGATGAAGGTGAACGCCCCCTACTACAGTTCCTGGGGCACCCTCGAGTATCACAACGCCATGATCGTGGGCACGGAAGAGGCAGATGATGGCTCTGCAGTTGTGCGGGTGCTCTACCTCTACCCCACCCACAAGTCCCTGAAGCCCTGTCCCTTCTTCCTGGAGGGCAAGTGCCGCTTCCTGGACAACTGCAGGTAAAGCGCCGCTCCTGGCCCTCGGGGCTGGAGGCAGGGGCTGGAGGCAGGGCGGGTCGAGGCTTCCCTCTGTGTTGGCATCTTGCCCCTGTGTGTCCAGCAGAGTGCCGGCAGGAGGGAGCTCGCCGCTGGCGTTCCAGCCGTTGTCCTTGAGTAGGTGTTTCCTTGGATTTTCTCTGGTAAATCAAGAATAGAGGAGGCTTATGTTGAAAAGAAGGGACTTCCCCCATCACCGTTCTATCCTTTAGAGTTAAACTTCTAAAATGTATGCTCATCATGGGCACCTGCCACCATGCACAGAATCAGAGAGGGTGGTATGATGACCTCCCAGGTGGTCATCTTACTTCATTTGTCATCCTCCTGCCAGTTTTGTTTCATCCACTCTCCCTGCCCTGCTTCTCTCCCCTCGACCACTTTAAAGAAAATTGCAGGGGCTCCTGTGTGTTTTACTATAAATACTTTAGATGCACCTTCGCCTGACTGTAAGGATATTATAAAAAGGGTCTCCAGTTCATCATCAGACATGGCAGACTTAACCGTAGTACCTCTTCTATGTTCAAGTGTCCGCAGTTGTTTTGTCTTTCTCTTAGGGCATAACTTTAATTTTGCTCCTTTTACTTAATCCCTGAAAAGAGTATTTACTGAAATCCCTAGTAGGTAACTGACATTTTTAGCCAACAGTCCAGAGTAACTCTCTAGTTCTTTGGTCTTCCTGTTTCTTTTTCTTTCTTTCATTTTGCTGTTAATCTTCACCCGAAGATACTTAATTTCCAGAGAAAGTGCCAGGGGCCTGGGTAAATCGGGCAGAGAAATATCAGTGTGAGAGAGACACAGCCACTGGTTGCTTCCTGGTCTGAAGCAGGGTCTGATATGGAACCTGCAACCCATTCTTTACCGAGAATCATTGAGCAGCGCTGGCCAGGGTGGTCTTTCTATTTGTTGTTGTTAATCCTCACCTGAGGATATTTTCCATTGATTTTTAGAGAATGAAGGGCGGAGGAGAGACAGAGAGAAACATGATGTGAGAGAGACACATTGATTGGTTACCTCCCACCCATGCCCCGACCAGGACCAGGGTTTGAGCTGCAACCTAGGTAAGTGCCCTTGACTGGGATCAAACCCGGGACCATACAGTTCACAGGCCGACTCTACCCACTGAGCAAAACTGGCTAGGGTGATCTTCCACTTTCTTTTTAAATATATTTATTTATTTCAAAGAGGAAGGGAGAGGGAGAGAGAAACATCAATGATGAAGATCATTGGTTGGCTGCCTCCTGCACACCCTCTACTGTCCACAGCCCTACGCTCTATCCACTGAGTCAAACCAGCCAGGGCATTCCTATTTCTTAATAGGCTTTTGCTAGGTTTTAAGTCTTATTTGGCAAATATCACCTCCCTCTCTCCCGCCAGCCTGCCTTCTTTCCTCCCTCCCTCCCTCCCTCCCTCCCTCCCTCCCTCCCTCCCTCCCTCCCTTCCTTCCTTCCTTCCTTCCTTCCTTCCTTCCTTCCTTCCTTCCTTCCCTGTCCATTGTGTTAAAGTGTAGCATATGTGCAGAAAAGTGGGTAGATCAGAGTGTGTTGCCAGCACGGATGAAGGAGCAGAGGACTAAGCCTTTCGGCCTTTGTGCCCTGAGTCTCGGTACTTCCCTGCGTGATGTCCCATGTTAGAGGTTGCTTCCTCTGCACCGGGCATGTTCCCAGTCTCTTTCACACGTGTTAACTCACCTGGGAGATGGGCCCTGCCACCACTGAGGCTGCCCAGAGCTACTCTGCTTTCCAGCAAGGCTTTAGGCCCAGCCGACTCCCTGCACACACCTGCCTGCTTCCACCCAGGACTGAGATTTCTTATATTTGCTTTGGGTCTTTATAAACAATAAAATAGATAACATGGGAGCATTCTTTGACCCCCTCCCCGACGCTGTTCCTCGCACCTTGGTGTGCACTCTCTGTACAAAACAAACGTGTGCAGCCTGGTTTCCCCACTCACTGCCAGGCCCACTGTGTCCGAGTGGCTGTGCATCCTCTCTCCCTGCCTTCCTGGCCTCCCAGTCCCCTGTCTAAGGACTTTATTTTATTTTATTTTATTTTATTTAATACGGAACCACTGAATTTGTGTGTCATCCTTGCACAAGGGCCATGCTAATCTTTGTATCGTTCCAGTGTTAGTCTATGTGCTGCCGAAGCAAGCATAGGACGGCGCCTTTTGGGCCAGCATTGAAGCCCTGGTCCGTCCAGCACCCTCTGTGCCCGCAGGCCAGCAGTCTGTTGTGCTTTTCTTGCATCAGGAGGCCCGGTGGCTGGCTTTCTTTTGTCACATTAACAGCTAGGGGTGCTCAGTGAGTGCCCTGGGCGCAGTTGGGAGTGGTATAGGGACCGCCTCCTGTTGGCTCATTTCACTCAGTGGCTGATGGTTACACCGAGGTGCCCTCCCTCCTCTCCGTTTGCTGCTCAGAGGCTCTGTCACAGAAAAGGCGGGAAAATGCTGGGGTTTTCTGTTTTCTCTCAACCTATCTTGACACAGAATGACTCTTATAGAGGCAAAGAATTGAGTAATCTTTTAATCCATTCTTCTAATTTATTTTCTTTAGCGTTTGACCCATTGACATTTAAAGTAATTGCCAAGTCAAGGCCTAGTGGCTCAGTTGGTTGGAGCATCCTCCTATCACTGGAAGGTTGCAGGTTCAGTCCCCAGTTGGGCGCATATGGGAGACGATTGATGTCTCTCTCAAATGTCTGTCTTTCTTTCTCTCCCTCTCTCTCTCTCTCTCTCTCTCTCTCTCTCTCTCTCTCTCTCCTGCTCTCTAAAAAAACAAAAACAAAAACACATATCCCTTGGGGGGAGAAAGGGGGGGGTCTTGTAATATTTCAACAATAAAGAATTATTAAAAACAAAACAAACAAGAAAATATCTCCTTAGGTGAGAATTTTTTTTATGTTAAAAATAAGAATAAAGCCCAGTCAGAGTGGCTCAGTGGTTCATTGACCAATGAACCAGGATGTCATGGTTCAATTCCCAAATCAAGGCACATGCCTGGGTTGTGGGCTCCATTCCTCTTGCTCATCATTGTTGTTGCTCTCTCTCTCTCCCTCTCTTTCCCTCTCTCTGAAACCAGTAAAACATAAAAAAATATTTTTTTAATAAAAAATAAAGTAGCCCAGCTGGTGTGGCTCAGTGGTTCAGCATCGTCCCATGCACCAGGAAGTCACTAGCTAGTTTCCCAGTCAGGGCACATGCCCAAGTTTTGGGCTCAATCCCCAGTAGGGGGCATGCAGGAGGCAGCTTATTGATGTTACTCTCTCATCAGTGTTTCTATCCCTCTTCTTTCTTTGATCTAAAATCAATAAAAACATTTAAAAAAGAGTATGCAAAATAAATAATTATGATAATTTTATTCTTGCCTCTGGGTTTTTTCCTGTGTGTCTCATACTTTTTGTTTCTCAGTTCCTCCATTACAGCCTTCTTTAGTGTTTGTTTATTTCCACTGTGTCTTTTTGTTGTTGCTGTCCCCCTTATATTGTTACTGTTAGAAATTACACCTTTATACCCTTTATGTATTGTGTGCCCAGAAATGTAGATTTGTGATTACTGCTTAATACCTTTGTCTTTGAAATCATATGGGAAAAATAGTTGCAAACAAAAAATTTTAATACTAGTTTCTGTTTGCCTCTGTTACCTCGCCCAGTGCTCACATGGCTGCGTTACTGGCCAGGGTCTGCCCTTTCATTCCAGTCTGATGATGCCCTTTAGCATTTCTTTTGTTAATTGATTTCAGAGAGGGAGAGAGAGTTAGAAACATCAATGAAGAGAGAGTATCATTGATCAGCTGCCTCCTGCAGGCCCCCTATTTGGGGATTGAGCCCACAACCTGGGCATGTGCCCTGGCCAGGAATTGAACCATGAACTCCTGGTTCATAGGTCAATATTCAATCACTGAGCCATGCCAGCCAAACTAGCGTTTCTTGTAGGCAAGTCTGTCAGTGACAAACTCCCTCAGCTCTTGTTTATATAGGAACGTCTTCATTTCTCCATTACTGAAGGATAGTTTTGCCAGAAATATGAATCTTGTCTGACAGCGTTTTTCCTTCAAGACTTTAAATATGTCATCCCACTGCCTGTGGCTTCCATAGTTTCTGATGAGAAATCAGCTTTAGGGATTCTCACCCCTGAAGAGCCATATCTCTTACTACCCTCAGATGCTGTCTTTGCCTTTGGGTCTTAGCAGTTTGACCACAATGTGTCTTGCTGTGGGTCTCTTTGACTTTAAACTGCTTGGATGCATAGATTCATGTCTCTCATCAAAGTTGGGAACCTTTCAGCCATTTTTACTCAGTTTTGCAAGCATTTTTTCTGTTCCTTTCTCTCTTTTTGGGGGGAGATTCTATTATCCATATTTTGGTATACAGCGTATTTTAGTGTGCTTTGTAATTATTTTTTCTTTTTTTAAAATATATTTTATTCATTTTTTACAGATAGGAAGAGAGAGGGATAGAGAGTTGGAAACATCGATGAGAGAGAATCATCAATCAGCTGCCTCTTGCACACCCCCTACCGGGGATGTGCCTGCAACCAAGGTACATGCCCTTGACCAGAATCGAACCCGTGACCTTTCAGTCCGCAGGCCGACACTCTATCCACTGAGCCAAACCGGTTCGGCTGTAATTGTTTTCTTGATAGCCAGACACAAAATACTGGCTAAAAAGAGCTGTTATGAACAGGCCATTAGTGATGTGGTGAGTGATGAAGGGAAGCTTTCTAATGCCTATGATTCATACTATCCTCTCGTAAACCCAGGCCGCTGGTGGCCTGCTTCATAGGCTGACGCTCAAGCACTGAGCCACGCCGTCCGGCTCTGCACTCTTTGTTAGGACGGAGAGATCCTCACTTCTTATATGCTAGCCTGGTGACCAGTGTGTCCCATCGAGTGATTTCTCATTTCAGCACTGACTTTCCAGCCCTGGAATTTCTACTTGATTCCTTATATAATTTACACTTCTCTTTTAAGATTCTCTACTTATTGAGTCGTTATCATTATGCTGTCATTTAATTCCTTGAACATATACTCTCTACTTCGAAGTCATTTGTTAGATTCACCATCTTGGTGCTCGCTTCGGCAGCACATATACTAAAATTAGATTCACCATCTTGGCCCACTCAATCAGACCCCATCAACTGCTTTTTTTCCCCTTAATATGTTGGTTTGCATGTCATAAATTTTTATTGAAAACTGGACATTTCGGATATATTTTAACAACTCTGGCTTCTGAATTGTTTTTCCTGATGTTTTATTTTAGTACATTTTCTGGACCTAAATTACAGTCTGCCACCTGCCATAGTGTGCAGTCTCTGATGGCTCTGGTCAGATTTTAAATTTACTTTTCAATCTGGCTTCCTAGGCAGCACTTTGCCGCTGAGTGGTGCGTCAGAACTTAGTCAGAAGCTGTGCTCAGACACTTTCTTCCCAGTCCATCCATGTGAGCTGGGGAGTGTCATTCCCAGCTGCCCCCCCCCCCCTCTCCCTGCTGTTCCCGTCTTGGCATGTCTTGGAACTCTTGATTTGTGTGCATCGTTCCATCGTTCCATAGAGAGGATGTGCAGAGTGGAGCCCTCTGCGGCCCTTCCTGACCTGTCCGTTCTCTGGTGGCTTTGATTGGTTTCACCACTTTTACCGTCTTCCCCACTTCCACCATCTGAGTCTGCTGCTTTGCAGGGGGCGCTGCAGACACCCAGGCCTCGCCATCACTCTGAAGCGGTACGTTTGGGCCCTTTTGCCAGTTTTAGCCTTGTTCTCTGTGCAAAGATTCAGTCACCTCTGTCCGTGGCCACAGCTGAACTCAGGGAATGTCATCCTAAGAGCTAGTTTTCGGGTTCGTGTTTGAGACACTGGCATGTGTTTCTGTGAATATTGTGAGGTGGGTGATTGAGTTGGTTTTTAAATTTTTAAAATATATTTTGGAAGGTTTTTTTTATTTTAGAGAGGAAAGGAGAGGGAGAGATAGAAACATCAATGATGAGAGAGAATCTTCGATCAGGGGCCTCCTGCATGCCCCACACTGAGAATGGATCCCGCAACCTGGGCATGGGCCCTGCTGGAATCAAACCGTGACCTCCTGGTTCATAGGTCAGTGCTCAGCCACTGAGCCACACTGGCCGGGCAAGTTTTTCTTTTAATATGAAAAAAGTTTTAAGTTGTTTCCTTATGAAATGCACAGTCCCTCTTTTCCTGTCTCGTTTCTAACACTTCCTGTTACCTGTGAGGCTTTCTGTATGCGTGCCCCCCCCCCCCCCCCCCCCGCGCCCTTTCCATTCCATCTGTCCATTCACCCGTTCTCTTAGGCTTCAATCCGTTTTGTGGATTTGCCACTAACTACTTCCCATGGTTGGGAATTTAGGCTATTTCTGAGTCTTTAGTATTTGGTTAACATCCCTATAGCTAAATCTTTGCATACTTACATTATTTTTATAACGATTTTATGAAGTGCGTGCTAGGTTTAGGGAATATACCAGATTCTAAGGTTTCTAATATTGCTGAAGAGTCCTCCGGACAGGTTTGCTGGTGGTGTCTGTAGGTGTGTGCCTACCTGTGTGTGTGAATGAGCACGCAAGTTAGCGTGTGAGCCGGTGTGTATGTCTCGAAGGGGTATTTGGTGGCACTCGCCGGGTGTAGTCCCCCTTTTGAACAAGCGGTTTTGCTTCTCCGTTGATGAAGGCTTTTAACCACAGGCTCTGCTGCTGTCCATTTGGGGCCCAGACTTGCAGCTGCTGGTGCCTGAGGACAGCCAGGTGTGAAAAGGAGCAGCCCTGAGGCCATCTGTTTCCTCCAGACAAATGCCTCCTTCGGTGCCCTCTCCCTCTGTCACCACCAGTTCCTGCCTCAGAGACAGCCATGTTGTGGGCAGATGCCAGTCCTGGCTGTTCGTGTGGGGTTAAAGCAGTTCCTCTGGAAGTGATGGTACATGGGGTAGATATGTGGTTGGTTTTCTCTTGTCTTTATTTGGCAAAGTGAAGGTTGCAATCCTCACATTTCCCCCCCTCCCCCTCCCTCCCTCCCTCTCTCTCTCTCTCTCTCTCTCTCTCTCTCTCTTTCTCTCGGTTTTAGTGTTAATTTCGCTGGTGCACTGATCTCTGAAAGTCAAAGCACCACTGTTACAAGTGGGTGTGCTAGTTGGTTTGGGAAGGGTTCAGCCACATGAGCTCCCAAGCCCTGCGCTGATTATCAGTTGCCGTCTGGGGCTTTGTGTCTGGTGGAGGCAGAGGGGCACTCTGCCAGCCACACTGCCACCCTGGCCCGGAAAGCTGAGGGCATCCTCATCCTCTGAGGGGCCATGTCCATCCCGAGAGCTAGAGTGAGGGTGCATGTGTGTGTATGGGTGTACAAATGGTATGTGTATATGTATGTATATGTGGACACGTGTTTGTTTGTTTCCCTGTTCTGTTTCTCCCTCCCTGAGGGCCATGCCCAGACAGTTAGACTTGGCTCTCTGCGGTTCACACGCCCCTGTGGGCTGTCTGACCGCGGCCCTCCCCGCAGGTTCTCCCATGGGCAGGTGGTCTCTGTGGATGAGCTGCGCCCCTTCCAGGACCCGGACCTGAGCTCCCTGCAGGCTGGTTCTGCATGCCTGGCCAAGCAGCCAGATGGTCTCTGGCACCCAGCACGGATCACTGGTGAGGCTGCCCGTGGTGGGCCCTCTCGGGCCCTCCTGGAAGCCCCTCCATGTTAGAACCCTGTGACCCCTCCTTTGGCTGGTGCCGGGTCCCCGCTCTGTGACAAGAGGAGTGAGATTGCCCTGGCCTTGGCCCGTCTCGCTCCCAACTTCCAGTGAGTCTCCACCCTGTGCAGCTGGGACCTGTTGTCTTTGACCTTGTTCCAGATATGGACAGTGGCTACTACACAGTCAAGTTTGACTCGCTGCTGTTGAAGGAAGCCGTTTTGGAGGGGGACAGCATCCTTCCCCCATTGCGCCCAGAGCCTGCAGAGTCTTCTGACTCAGACAGTGGTGACCCAGACGATTCCAGCTATGCCAGAGGTACAGGGCAAGGGGCACCTTGGGCAGCGGTCTCCCTGGGAGGTTCCTGGCTGGTGGGGACCATCTAAGCAGAAAGAGAGCGTGACAGCGGGTGAGGTGGGCTCAGCCCAGGGATGGCGCACAGCAGGGGCACTAGTTGGGCCTGGAGAGACAGGGAGGCCCCCAGGAGGTGGGGGAATGAGAGCATGTGTGAGGGTCTGGGCAGGTCTGCAAACATGCAGATGCAAAGACCGGCCCTTGCCATCAAGGAGTGTGTATGCCAATGTGACCCCCATGGTGCAGCCAAGGAGTGTGTATGCCAATGTGACCCCCATGACCACTGCTGGGAGGCCCAGCGCGAAAGAGTAGGAGCAGCAGCTCCTTCTGGGGCTTCTGTCGGGGCCTGGGGTCTGGTCAGTGGGTGGGGGCGGACAGCCACGGGCTCGGGGGCTTCAGGAGCCTGTGTCCTGCCCTGAGGGACCAGTGAGGAAGGAGACTGGCCGCGTCCCTTTGGGGCTGTCCCTTGTGCTGTGGTTTCTGAAGCCCTGTGTCCTTGGGATGGAGAGAGCACTAAGCTCTTGGCTAGCTCTGGCCAGGGCCCAGGTGTTCCCTGTGCAGCCGGGCCAGTCCCTGCCTGTTTCCTGCAGTGGTGGGACCCAGCGCCACCGACCACGGCGCCTGCAGCTCTGCCTTCGCCGGCTGGGAGGTGCACACGCGGGGCGTCGGCTCCAGGCTGCTCGCCAAGATGGGCTATGAGTTTGGCAAGGGTGAGTGAGCGGCACTGCTCTGGGGAGGGGCTGGGGTGCCACTCCACGGGGAATGGGGGGCGCGTCCAGCAGCAGTGTCAGCCCCTGTGCCCCCAGGTCTGGGCCGACACTCAGACGGCCGGGTGGAGCCCATCCACGCTGTGGTGCTGCCTCGGGGGAAGTCGCTGGACCAGTGTGCAGAGATCCTACAGAAGAGGACCAAGGGCAACAAGGCTGGCCCTCGTCGGGCCCCAAAGTGCCGGGGCAGAGGAGGCAGGCCTGGGGGCCGCCCGCCCCCCCGGAGCGTGTTTGACTTTCTGAATGAGAAGCTGCAGGGCCAGGCTCCTGGGGCCCTGGAGGCAGGGGCTGCCACCCCTGGGAGGAGTGGCAAGGAGCTGTACCATGCCAGCAAGGGCACCAAGCGGGCCCTGAGCCTGCGGCTCTTCCAGACCGAGGAGAAGATTGAGCAGGCCCAGCGAGACATCCGGGGCATCCAGGAGGCTCTCGCCCGCAACACTGGCCGGTATGTGTGGGGCTGAACTTGGGGCAGAGGACGGGCCCCGGGGTGGCCATGCCTCTAGTCCTGCTCTGGGCACCCAGCCTAGCTCAGGTGCAGGCTTTCGTCCTGACCTGAAGGTGGTGGCTGGGTCTGAGGAGGTCTGCATGGCGGGAGGATGCCCGGCAGTGGCCAGGCATCCTGGGGTCTTACAGCAGTGGCCGAGCCCATGCTGAGCAGCCTCTCTCTAGGCACAACGCGACGGTGGCCCAGCTGCAGGAGAAGCTGGCAGGAGCCCAGCGGCAGCTGGGGCAGCTCCGGGCCCAGGAAGCGGGCCTGCAGCGGGAGCAGAGGAAGGCGGACACTCACAAGAAGATGACGGAGTTCTAGAGCCCAGCACGTGCCAGGGACAGGGCTCCAGCTCCCACTGCCTCGGGAAGACCTGCTATCGTCCAATGACTGGATGCCGACAGAAGAGGGCCACTCCCAGACCAGATCGCACAGTCAGCCTTACTGCCAGGCTGGGGCGTGTGGACATTGCTGAATGGAGATGGGGTACAGGGGTCACGTCTTGGTGCTCACATGCCCACAGAGCCCCCTGCCAGTCCGTGTCTGCTTATCAAGGACATTAAAGTGACTTTGTCGCTGTCTTTTAGTGGTGGCGCGGCTGGCTGTGGGGTGTGAGGGAGGTTTCTGTGCGTGGAGCAGGGGGCTGGGCTGGAGAAATCCCCATGAGCCCTGAGGCAGAGGGCCCAGGGGACTGCCATCTTCCCTGGTCTCCCAGGGTCCCACGTTACCCGCACTCAAACAGTGGAGCGTGGTGGGAGGGGCTGGCCACTTGGGCCCTCGGGAGTCCTGCCAATGGGCAGGAGGGCCTGGCGGTGGGTTTGAGAGCCTGGATTTACCCCCGTGCGTGGTGGCCTGTCTCCTCCCAGTGTGTGCCCACCTCTTCGTGGGTGGAGACAGAGGTAGGCTCACGCCATGGCAGCTCGAAGCACACACCCACTGAGTGTCATCTGGACCCCAGCCGGGCGCAGCAGTTGGGTGAGGCTGCGGTGGTGGCGGCTGCTGCTGTAGGGGGTTGAGACAAATCTGACACAGAGGCAGGAAGTGGGGGAGCTGCACAGGCACCACTGCTCCTGGAGCCGCTGGCTGCCCCGATGGCTGAGGAGGGCCCTGCGCCCGCGGCCCTGGTAAGTGCCTCCTCTGAACCGCAGCCTGGCCAGCTCTCCGGGCCTGCTGCTGCGAGCCCTCCAGGGAGCACTCACGGGCTGGGGCTGGGAGGACTAGGCTCTACCGGGTCGCGGCGCTGGGACCTCCCGTGTGGGGAGCCCCCTCCCTGGGTCCGGGCAGACTCAGCCCCCACTCCCCGTATGGGTGCTAGGCTTTGCTGATTGTAGAGTGGACCCCACCCCCTGCAGCCCTGCTAAAGCCCCAGGAAGGAGACAGGTCCAATAGCAGGAATGGAGGAGGGGGTGGGGGGATGGTTCTCAGTGCCCAAAGCAGCCCCTTTCTGTCAGCTGGCCCCCACCTTTCCAGCCCTCGGGGCCAACGACGAAGGCAGCACCTCAGACAGACCTCACCTGGGCTGGGCAGGGCTGCAGGTCAGGCTGTGGCCTCTGGCTTGAAGGCTCCTGCATGTGACCTCAGTGGCGTCCCCAGATCTCAGGTTTGGGCTGTAGTGGCTACGGTGGGGCCTTGGCCAGGTCCTCTCTGGCCATGCTCTGCTGTCGTGGGTTATCTTCGCTGGCCTGGGCACACAGGAAGAGCACACATTCTCACACTGCCCAGGAGCCCCCAACCGGAGGCAGGAGAGGAAGGTGGGCGCTGAGGCTGCGTCCTCTCGGCTTCTGTAGGAGGAGGGGCTGCTGAGTTTGGGTTTCCTGTGCTGAGTCAGAGCTCCCAGGGTGGAGACCGCCAGCACCGTGAGGCGAGGTGGGTGGTAGGTGGGTGCCCAGTCCTTCAGCCAGCCCCCAGGACCCCTGTCTTCTGCCCTCAGGTCAGTCCGGGGCTACACAGGATGGGGCCACCGGTGCCCTCAGCCCCTCCTGCCCTTTGGGTCCTAGGGTGCCTCGCCCTGCTCCTCTGGCTGTGGGTGCTGTGCACAGCCTGCCACAGGTATGTCCCCCCTTGCCTGGGTTCCACAGGGAGCCTGCTTCAGCGCTGCGGCCAGCGAGGGCGGGGCTCAGGCAGGTCCCCCGTCACCAGAGGCTGACGCCCCTGCCCCTCATCTCTGCTTCCCTGGCCTGACGACCCTCTTTCCCCCAGAAAGCAGGCACGGAGGCAGCCAGCTGGGCTGCAGGGTACCATGATGCCAGTGGAAATGGTGAGTGCCAGGCTGCCCCTAGGGCCAGGTCAGGGCCAGCAGGGACTGACCTGCCTTCCTTGCCCCCAGACCCTGCTGAGACGGCCCCCGCTCTGCATCCTCAGCAAGTCAGACACCAGACTGCATGAGCTGCACCAGGGGCCGCTGCATCGTGCAGGTGAGCCCAGGGAGGGGAGGGCTTGCTGTACCACATCCTCCCTCTCCACCCCACTGACCTCTGCCCTGACCCCATCCCCAGCCCCTCGTCCTGCCAGCATGGATCTGCGCCCACAATGTCTGGAGGTGTCCAGAGACACGAGGCCCCTAGCCGCCTTCTCACATCGGGAACTGCCCTGGACCTCACCTGCTGCTGCTGCCCAGCCCTCCACGGGCCCTGAGGCCACCTATTCCAATGTGGGGCTGGCAGCCATCCCCAGGGCCAGCCTGGCAGCCATCCCCCTGGTGTGGGCAGGGGCAGGGCTGAGCAGCAGCTGTGCCAGAGACGGGCCTGAGGCCAGACCAGTGGTGGCTGAGTATGCTTGTATCCACAAGCTCAAAGGGACAGTTCGGGGTCCCGTAGGCCTGGACCAGGGGAAGACCCAGGGGACCCCAGCCACTCAGGTAAAGTGGAGGTGGTTGGATGGGGGGCAGTGGGCGGGCTGGGCAGATCCTTGCCAGCGTCGAAGATGCTGACCCGTCCCTGGGTGGGCTTCCTCCCTCCAGGTGGATATCCTATACTCCAGGATCAGCAAGCCTCAAAGGAGGGACCCGCGATCTGCCCTAGACCAGCCGGACCCCAAAGGCAGGGCAGCAATTCTGACTCTGGGGAGGAACCTGGATTATGAGGCCCCCCCACTCAGGGGCCTGAGTACCCACAGCCACCTGGAAAACGTGTATGAGAGCATCCAGGAGCTGGGGGCTCAAGCCGGCAGCCCCAGCTCTAGCTGACAGATCCGACAAGAAGGCCTGTCTCTCCTGCCTCCGCCTGTGGGGCTCAACTACGCAGGGGCCTCCAACCCCTTCCTGCCCTAGCACCCAAGGACAGATACTCCTTCCAGCGTCCCCCTTCCTCACAGCCCCCCACAGAGGGCAGCCTGAGCGTCTGGGGTCCTGGCTGCCCTGGCCTCTCCTGCCAGCGTCTTAATAAATGCCCAGCGCGGGGAGGATGAACACCAGGAGCCCAGCCTGCTGTCCTTCGAGGCCCGGGAGGGCTGTTTGGAAGGAGTAAAAAGCATCCCCTTACCGCAGGGACAGGCTGCCTCCCTCCTGGGGTGCCTGGGCCCAGCCATCCTGGCTCGCAAAACAGTGTGGGGAGAGAGACCAGGTTCGGGTGGTTGGTTCTAAAGCGGGTGTAGCCAGTCAGCAGGGTGGCTGCCCAAGGTCGGACTTGGGAGGGAGGGAGGGCTCGGGTCTCCCAGCCCAGGGGAGGGAGAGGTGGGCAGTCGTGCGCGAGAGTAACCGGCTCTGGGGACCCAGCCGAAGAGACGCGGCCCTTTCCGGACCCGGCAGCCCTGCGCTCGGGCTCCCCACCAGGCAGCCGGCCCCCCGCGGCTCCTCCGGGGCCGGGAGCGGCGGGGTGGGGCCCTGAGGGCGTGGCTTCGGGGCGCAGGCCAATGGGGTCGCGGCCTGCCCAGAGCACCGTCCCCTCGGAATGCTGATACTGAGCGCGGCCCAATGAGGCGCGCGGGCGGGGCGCGAGGGGCGGGGCGGCTGGGGTGGGGGCGGGGCCCGGGGCTGGTCCCGAGCGCCCACCCTCGCCGCTGCGGCCTCGGCGCGGCCGGTGGGCCATGGAGGCCCAGCGCCACCTGGCGCCCGGTCCGGGCTGCGGGCCCCTCCCCGCACCGCCCTCCAGAACCCAAGGCCGCGCCCGTGGCGGTGCCCGCGTCGCCGCAGGTACCGGGCGCCGGGGAACGCGGCGGAGTGCGCTCCCGCAAAGATGGCGTCGGAGTTGCACAAACCGGGCCCCGGACGGAGGCGGGGCGGCGGCCTGCGTGTGTGCGTGGGTCCCGGGGGCGGGCTCGCCGGCCGCGGTTTGGGGGACGAGCGGGTCCGGGTGGGGGCCGGGCCCCGGGCCGCCGCCTCGGCTGACACCCCCGGCCGCAGGGCCCCGCCGGTGGAGTTCGCGCCTCCGCAGGAGCCAGAGCCACGGGCTCCGGGGACCGGGGCGGGGGCGGCCGCGGGACCCCCGACGCCTTCGGCGCTCATCCCGGCGCCGGCGCTCAGGTGAGCCGCCCGCCGGGGCGGCCTCCGGGCGCGGCGTGCAGGGGGCGGGGGCGCGCCCGCGTTCTGGCCGCGCTCCCAGGGCCAGGGCCCAGCCGGCCGCTGCCAGTCTGCCTGGAGGCTATGCCGCCAGGCTGGCCGCCCAGGATCAGGGTCTCTGGCCGCCAACCCTCCTGGGCACTGGGCACCTGGCTGGCTGTCAGCCTTGGGCGGGCTCTGGCCCAGCCCTGCTGGGGCTTAGGGCTCGCTTGTGCTTGGAGCATTTCCCCTGGCCGCTGCTGACTGCTGGCTACTCCCCACAGCCCCCACCCGTCCCCAGGCCTGGCCTGGCCCACCGCTGCTGTTGCTCAACCCTGGTGAATGTGAGATTGGGGAGCACTGAGCCTCTGTGTCCAGCGCGGGTAAAGGGGACACTTTAGGGAGACTCCAGTCCAGACCCTGTTTGTTCCTGGTGGTTCCTGGAGATCTGGCCCCGGGGGTGGAACTGGGCCTGCCGCCCAGCCAGAGCCTGGTACACACACACACACACACACACACACACACACACACACACGGTGCCTGGACCAAGGAGGGTTCTAGAGTACTGCTGGGCCCCACCAGCCCCACCCCATTCTCCTCCAGAGCCCCCCAAGGAAAAGTCCGGCTGGATGAGGTCATGGCTGCCGCAGCCCTCACAAGCCTGTCCACCAGCCCCCTCCTGCTGAGGCCCCTGCTGCAGCCTTAAGCACAGGTGAGACAGAGGCCTGCACAGCGTGGAAGGGGGCGGGCCCAGGCCCCTGTTCCTCCAGGACCTTAGTGGGGGGCAAGCAGTGCCCCCTCACTTGCAAGGCCGCCTTCTAAACATGAACGTCAGGATCCCAGTGCCCAGGCCTGCGGCATCGCCACTCCCGGCCATGCATCTCTCCACTGATCTTTTCTGTTCCAGGGAGAGGAGTCCCAGGCTGCTGGGCCAGCTCCTCGCCACCCAACGTCCCTGTGACTAGGTGACTAGGCGAGGCTCAGAGTTAAGGGACTCAGCAGCAGTCTGCAGAGCGGCATGAGCATCTCAGGGCCTGACACTGGCCTGGTGTCTCCCTGCAGACGCCTGCTGGGAGCCCTGGCCCCAGACCCTGGGGCAGCCACCAGGCAGCTACAGCAGCAGCAGTGGAGACGGGCTGGGACCCAGCCAGCGAGCAGTCCTCTCCATCTTCCCCGTCACCCCCGCTGCCCCCAGAGGCAGCCTTCCTGTTTGGGGAGCCTGTGCCTCGGAAGAGGAAGGTAAGGGGGCGGGGGAATCTGCTCAGGGCGGGGTGGACACCCGGGGGGGAGCCTGACCACCAGCCCTTGTCCAGAGCTCGGGGCAGGTCCGGTCCCAGTGCCTGTGGAAGTGCTGTGGGAAGGCGCTGAGCACAGCCTCTGGGATGCAGAGACACATCCGCCTGGCGCACCTGGGTGCGGGGGCAGGCAGGTGGGCCGGGCTGGGCCAAGCCGGCCAGCGCTCCAGCTCCCACCTGCCTGTCCCCGCAGGCGGCAGGCAGAGCCAGAGCAGAGTGATGGCGAGTAGGACTTTTACTACACGGAGCTGGACATTGGTCTGGAGGTGCTGACTTCAGTGTCCCCCACGGCCTCCCTGCTGCCCACCTTCCCTCACCTGGAGCTGCCGGAGCCTCCAACCTTGCTCGGCCTGCTGCACCCATTGGCCTTGCCCCCACCCCAGGTGCCGAGTCCTGCGGCACCGCCCCGGGTGCGTCACACACGGTGACCGCCCTACCAGGGGGTGCGGGCGCTCACAGGCAGCCGTGGGGGTGGGCGGGAGCAAGACCACAGCTCCGTTCCTTGCAGGGCTGCCTGGCACCCACCCAGCTGCAGCCACCGCCCAACAGTCAGGGCCTGCATGCCAGCCCTGCCCTCCAAGCTCAGTGCCAGTCAGGTGCGTGTGGGCTGAGGGGCAGGCGGGGAAGGTCCTGGCCCAGCGGCACTCCATGCTCCCTGTGTGCTCCCCTAGGAAGCCCCGAGGCGACGCCAAGAAGTGCCGGAAGGCGTACAGCACGGAGCGCCGGGGCCTGTGGTGCACCGCCTGCCGCTGGAAGGCCTGCCAGCGCTTCCTGGCCTGAGGGTGGCACCGGGTCCAGAGCCCAGACTGCACCGCTGAGCCTGCGCCGCCCACAGGTTCTCCAGGAGAAGACACTGCACCCCCTGCCCAGGGCCTGCCCCAGTACGGGGTCTGCCTTCTCATGGGGAGGGGCGTCCCTGGACCCCCGATGGGGGAGGTCCCACCACCAAAGTGCCTCTGAAGGAGCCAGCCTTCTATACACAGCCACACAGGTCCCTGGGGTGGCCGTCCGCCCTGTCCGTCCGTGGACTTGTCAAGGGTGCTGATAGGCCCAGGTTTGAGGCCACGGGGGAGCCAGACCTGGATGCACGGGGGGGGGGGGGGGGGACACTGGGGGCTCCGCGTCACACTTATCCTGATGGTTCAGGGGCCAGAGCTGACATTTGTACCATGTTTTTGAAGCTCAGGTGTCTTGTGTCTGGACAGTGCCAGGCAACAGAAAAATTAAAGCTTTGGGGTTTTTCCAGGAGCCATGCCTGCCTCCTGGAGAGGGCGCAATACGGACCTGAAACCTGCCACAGGCATGTTGGTGGGTGGGCGACTGGCCACCTCTGCTCAGTGCGAGGCTGTGGGAGGGGACCAGCTCAAACACACACGAGGCATCTGCTTGAGCAGCAATTTCCCAGTTTATTGAGTGATCGCTCTGCAAGACTGTCCACGCTCTCCCGTCACAGAAAGGAACCCCGGCGGCCCAGCCCAAGACAAGAGCTCGCAGACCCGCTGGAGAGGGCCTGTCTGCCCGTCCGGGGCGGCGAGAAGCGACAGCAGCTCCCCAGCTGATCACAGAACTCCCCCAAATGCTCACTGTCCCACTGCCAGCACAGGTTTATCATAATATAAAGTCAGTATAATATAGATTATCCCCAGAAAAAATCAACAGTCTTCAAACACGGCCCTTTTTTTGTCTTTTGTTTTTGTTGATAGGTTGAAAGCATGTTGAAAAAATAAATATTTAAGAAAAGCACACACCCTCCCAACAAGGAGCTCTAAAAGGGCTGCGTACAGAACACGCAGGAGCTAACAACCAACCACCATTAAGTATGGCTTTAGAGTTGCACGTGTCACAAAATGGGAAAGTAAATTACCTTTCATCAGATTGCAAAAAGTTCCAGTTTTTGCATTTTCTTTTTTTATAAAGAGATATGTGCAAAGTTGGAAGCAGGAGCTGTGTCTTTTGAGTCAAGGTCCCTATTGAGTCCTGGCAGTGTTGTGACTTTCCCAAAACCCAGGGTCCAAATGAGCACCCTGGTCAGGATCCAGAGCTTTATACAAACGTCACCCCCACAGACCACCCAGTGGGCTGTGTGTTCCACTTCGGTGTCACCAACACCAAAATACAAATGAAAAAGTACAAAATGTGAAATGTAATCTACGCAGTTTTTCCTCTTCATAAAAAAAATATTTATTAGCTTAAACATTGATTTAAAAAAAAGATCAGTCACATGAAATGACCCTTCGTGACACTTGCCCTCCTGAGAGGCGGTGTGTGTCTCCGTCCCGTCGCTGCTACGCCTGCACATCGGGCCCTGGCTTCCCAGCAGTGTGGTGGTAGGAAGGAACTGCCCCGTGGCACGGGCGTGAGCCCCAGTCAGCAGGGGCAGTGCGCAGCGCAGACAGCAGGTGTCCTGAGTGTGGAGGTGGCCCTGGTGTGGGCAGGGTGGCCTGAGGTGGACCGGCACAGAACCAGACACCTGTCGGCTGCAAAGGTCTGTTTTCCAACGTGTTCTATGAGAAAGGAGGTCTGTTTAGAAAAAGGGCTACAAAGTGGGGGGAAGTACAAGTTCTGACAGCCCAGTGGGGGCTCGGCTGGGCCTCACTGCTGACAGGCAGGAAACGCCCAAAAGCCCTCGCACGGCCTGGCCACCCCGCAGCAGAGTGGACAACCTTGGCCGTTCCTCTTAAGGACACAGTGTCAGGCTCAGGGTCTGAAGCGGGCGCAGGCAGCTGGGCAGCAGCCCCTTCCGAGCGTCCTCTGCCACGAATGGAATGGCGGCTGATTTCACTAAAAAATAAATAAGTAAAAGCAAAAGCACGGCTTCTCCCGGGGGCAGGACTTCAAGGACAGCACCATGTCCCACACGCCCACCTGGGCCAGGGCGGGCCCCCAGCCCCAGCAGGGGAACCTCGGGGCCACTGGAGCCCACGGGGCGCGCGGGGCTCCACCGGGAACAGACGTGACGCAATAAGGAACTTGGTAAAGGCCTCGGGCTCAGAGTCTGGGCCCGGAAAAGCCACGGCTCTGTATGGCACCTGAGCCCTTGCAGGGGTGCGTGCTGTGCCTGCGAGGCGGAGAGGCGGGAGGTCTGGGTAACAGGTGCCAGGCCGGGTGCTTTTCGCCGGGAAGAGAGGCGAGCAGGCTGTGAGCGCCGAAAGGCAGCACGAGGGCCTGGCCACACGCCAAGGAGACGCTGCGGCCGGTGCGAGGAGGGAAGCCAGCAGCCACGGCGTGGGCCCATCTCGGCGTGGCCAGCCGTCCCGGGCATGGCAGTGCGTGGCAGGCAGGTCGCTGCCTCCAGTGTTAGCAGCAGCAAGGCTGGTTCTGGGGGGCAGCAGGCATGGAGAGCCAGGGGACAGGCGCGGGGGCGCCCCAAGGAAGTGCACATGGAACAGCGTGGGACCCTGGGCCCAGCACCCACTGCCAGCAGTTAGCACCTGGGAGCCCAGCCAGCGGGGCTGCTGCCGCTCCGTGCGAGCACCGAGGCCCAGAGCCAGGGCCGGCTGTGCAGGGGCTCTGAGGCGCCCGGGCAACGGCGCCTCCAGAGCGAGGGCCGCAGGCAGCGAGTGGCTGCGGTGCTGGGGCCCAGGGGGGGTCAGAGCTCCTCATATCTCGGACCTGTGACCTCGGGGCCACTCCGACACCCAAGCAGTGCTGACCTGGCCTGGCCATTACGCCATCAGTGCCCCAGGCCAGGCCCCTTGGTGCATCTCCCACACGCACCTGTGGGGACTCTCTGACCCCAAAGATGGCAGGTGGAACCTCCCTGTACCCCACCAACTTCGTGTTTGATCCCAGAGCCCCCGTGGCGGAGGCCACACCTGCTCCCGAGACCACGGGGCTGGCCCTCGGGGAGGTCTGGGGCAGGAGAGAACCGAAGGGCCGGGAGGAGGGGCAGCGGCTCCGATGCCCTCCGGGCCAGGGAGACCCTAAGCATGCACACACAGACGGCGGGCGGCACACCCAGCACTCTGGTGCCCGCCCAGGGCCTAGGAGATCCAGGCAAAGTCCTTGCCCGCCGACCCCACGGGGCTGCGCGGCCCCCGGGGCGAGTCCTGGTCCTTGTCCTCCCCCAGCAGCGCGTCCTCGGGGGCCAGGCCGTCGTCCTCGTCCTCGCCCAGCTCCTCCTCGCCGTCCCCGCGAGGGTCGTCGGGGTCCTCCAGGTAGGGCCCGTCGCCCGAGAACGGCTCTGGGGAGCCCGCGGCCCCCGCGCCACCCAGCGGCCCGGGCCCGCCGCGGCCCGCACAGTCGGTGCACACGCCGTGCCGCCGCGAGCCGTGCTTGATGCCCACGCTGGCGGCCGACACGAACACGCGGCTGCACAGCTTGCACACGTACTTCTTGTCCTTGCTGTGCACCTGTGGGAACGGGCGGGCAGTGAGCGGCGCCGGAGCCAGCGGGCCTGTCGGCGAAGGGCTGGCAGGGCTGTGTGCTTCCCCGCTGCTGCCCTCAGCTGCCCTCCCCAGTGGCCCCCGTCCTGCCACGCCCATCCACAAACCCCCGAACCCTGAGCCTGCCACGCTAACGTGTGTGCTCACACTTGAGCTGCGTGAGGTTGGGATCAGGGCTGGGGCCCCTCAGGGAAGCCAGCCAGGCCCTGGAGCCGGGTGCTGCCCGCAGCTCCCGCCCCGGCCAGGCTCTCCGGGACCCTCCTGGGTGTCTGTCTGTCTGTCTGTCTGACACACTTTAGATCCAGGCTTCCTCCCCAACAAGACAGCAATCCTGGGAAGCTGAAGGGGAAGTGCGGGTCCCTCTGCGAGGACAGCCCTCGAATTTCGAGGACATTTTCAGGGTTTCCGACCCTCCCTGAAGCCCCCACGAACCCCATGAATCCACGGGATCAGTGTACCGAACCAAGAATGTGGTTTTGCCAAAGGAAAGACGTACTAGTAAGGTACTGGGTGGGTACTGCACCCGTCAAGTGTAAGCTGGACTGCCACCATGCTGTTCGCCTGAAACTAGCGGGACCACACGGTGCAGCTGCAGCTGGACAGAAGGTGAAGTTCCCACGTGTGCCCGGGGACCGGCCGCGGCTCAGCCGCTTCTGTGGCTCCCTCTGCGGCTCCCGGTCAGACCGGGCTCCCATGCGGCTCCCTCTGTGGCTCCTGCGGGTGGTGGCATGCATGCATGCATTTGCTCCCTCCTCTGACCCATGTGCTGTATGTTCTCAGGTCACTGGCTCATTCTAACCTTTTTACCAAATTATGAACTTTTATTCAATTAAGATAATTAATTTGATGTCCACACATCCAGGGTTTTGTTGTAAATGGTTTTTCCAGCTTCTCATATAACTATGAAGAAATTCCTATATTATCACCTGTGTCATTGCAATGCAACCCACAACTGCACTTCCATTTCAGCAGGTTATGTAGAAATTAATTTAGTGGATTATTGAAAAAAATATATAGCAACCCATGTCACAGCCTCCCAGCACCTGTGACAAACAACAGAACCTTCTCTGTGGACGCAGATGCTCTCCCTGGGACGCAGCGGCTGGCGGGAGCCCGTGGGGCCCTCTGGACGGGCAGAGCGGGGCAGGTTCCAAAACCGGGGCAGAGTGGGCCTTGGCTCCGGGGCTGCCAACTGGCCACTCCCGGAGCAGCTGGACCCACCGGGGAGCAGAAGCCCGGGCGCCCGGGCCGTGCACTCCGGGACCCTCTGGCCGGGGCCGGGGGCGGCTGCGGGACACGGCATCTCTCATCAGCCAGAGCCCGGCGTCCAGCTGCAGGCCCGGTGGTGGGCGCTGCTCGCTCCAGGGGTCTCTCTGTCAGGAGCCAAGCCTGAGGGTCCTGCCTCACCCCCAGGCTGCCACCGTGTCAGGTTACACCTGGGCCACCCTCAACCATGTGACACGGCCCCAGGCTGCCCGGTGGCTTCCCCGCCACGCCTCCCGGTGGCTCTGCTCCTGATGCCAATCCCCCGCAGAGAGCCGGCCAGCCCGTGCACCCGCTGGACTCAAGACACCCGAACCAGCGACATCACCCTGACGCCCTCTTCCCACCTCCACTGGACCCCAGGGCTGCCCCACTACTTCCTGTCACACAGGTGCACGCCCAGCCGACCCCCGCAGCCCTGTGCCCCTGAGCCCTGTGCCCCTGAGCCCTGTGCCCCTGAGCCCTGTGCCCCTGAGCCCTGTGCCCCTGAGCCCTGTGCCCCTTAGCCCTGTGCCCCTGAGCCCTGTGCCCCTGAGCCCTGTGCCCCCTGAGCCCTGTGCCCCATGAGCCCTGTGCCCTGCAGCCCTGTGCCCCCGAGCCCTGTGCCCCCTGTGCCCTGCAGCCCTGTGCCCCTGAGCCCTGTGCCCCTGAGCCCTGTGCCCCTGAGCCTTGTGCCCCCTGAGCCCTGTACCCCCTGTGCCCTGTGCCCCTGAGCCCTGTGCCCCTGAGCCCTGAGCCCCCTGAGCCCTGTGCCCCTGAGCCCTGTGCCCCTGAGCCCTGTGCCCTGCAGCCCTGTGCCCCCTGAGCCCTGTGCCCCTGAGCCCTGTGCCCCTGAGCCCTGTGCCCCCTGAGCCCTATGCCCCGGAGCCCTGTGCCCCTGAGCCCTGTGCCCTGCAGCCCTGTGCCCCCGAGCCCTGTGCCCCCTGTGCCCTGTAGCCCTGTGCCCCTGAGCTTTGTGCCCTGTGCCCCCTGAGCCCTGTGCCCCTGAGCCCTGTGCCCCCTGAGCCCTGTGCCCCTGAGCCCTGTGCCCCTGAGCCCTCTGCCCTGAGCCCTGTGCCCCCTGAGCCCTGTGCCCCCTGAGCCTTGAGCCCTGTGCCCCTGAGCCCTGTGCCCCCTGAGCCCTGTGCCCCTGAGCCTTGTGCCCCCTGAGCCCTGTACCCCCTGTGCCCTATGCCCCCTGAGCCCTGTGCCCCCTGTGCCCTCTGCCCTGAGCCCTGTGCCTCCTGTGTCCCCTGTGCCCCCCTGAGCCCTGTGCCCCCTGAGTCCTGTGCCCTTGAGCCCTGTGCCCCTGAGCCCTGTGCCCCTGAGCCCTATGCCCTGCAGCCCTGTGCCACCGAGCCCTGTGCCCCTGACCCCTGAGCCCCCTGAGCCCTGTGCCCCTGAGCCCTGTGCCCTGCAGCCCTGTGCCCCCTGAGCCCTGTGCCCCTGAGCCCTGTGCCCCTGAGCCCTCTGCCCTGAGCCCTGTGCCCCTGAGCCCTGTGCCCCCTGAGCCCTGTGCCCCCTGAGCCCTGTGCCCCTGAGCCCTGTGCCCCTGAGCCCTCTGCCCTGAGCCCTGAGCCCCCTGAGCCCTGTGCCCCTGAGCCCTGTGCCCCTGAGCCCTGTGCCCCCTGAGCCCTATGCCCCTGAGCCCTGTGCCCCTGACCCCTGTGCCCTGCAGCTCTGTGTCCCCGAGCCCTGTGCCCCCTGTGCCCTGCAGCCCTGTGCCCCTGAGCTCTGTGCCCTGTGCCCCCTGAGCCCTGTGCCCCTGAGCCCTGTGCCCCCTGAGCCCTGTGCCCCTGAGCCCTGTGCCCCTGAGCCCTGTGCCCCCTGAGCCCTGTGCCCCCTGAGCCTTGTGCCCCCTGAGCCCTGTACCCCCTGTGCCCTGTGCCCCCTGAGCCCTGTGCCCCCTGTGCCCTCTGCCCTGAGCCCTGTGCCCCCTGTGTCCCCTGTGCCCCCCTGAGCCCTGTGCCCCCTGAGTCCTGTGCCCCTGATCCCTGTGCCCCTGAGTCCTGTGCCCTGCAGCCCTGTGCCCCCGAGCCCTGTGCCCCTGAGCCCTGAGCCCCCTGAGCCCTGTGCCCCTGAGCCCTGTGCCCTGAGCCCTCTGCCCTGAGCCCTGTGCCCGAGCCCTCTGCCCCTGAGCCCTCTGCCCTGAGCCCTGTGCCCCTGAGCCCTGTGCCCCTGAGCCCTGAGCCCCCTGAGCCCTGTGCCCTTGAGCCCTGTGCCCCTGAGCCCTGAGCCCCCTGAGCCCTGTGCCCCTGAGCCCTGTGCCCCTGAGCCCCCTGAGCCCTGTGCCCTTGAGCCCTGTGCCCCTGAGCCCTGAGCCCCCTGAGCCCTGTGCCCCTGAGCCCTGTGCCCCTGAGCCCTCTGCCCTGAGCCCTGTGCCCCTGAGCCCTGTGCCCTGCAGCCCTGTCCCCCCTGAGCCCTGTGCCCTGCAGCCCTGTGCCCCCTGAGCCCTGTGCCCTGTGCCCCCTGAGCCCTGTGCCCCTGAGCTCTGTGCCCCCTGAGCCCTGTGCCCCTGAGCCCTGTGCCCCTGAGCTCTGTGCCCCCTGAGCCCTGTGCCCCTGAGCCCTGTGCCCCCTGAGCCTTGTGCCCCCTGTGCCCTCCTGAGCCCTGTGCCCCCTGAGCCCTGTTCCCTGCAGCCCTGTGCCCCCAGAGTCCTGTGCCCCAGAGTCCTGTGCCCCCGCAGCCCTCTGCCCCGAGCCCTGTGCCCCCGCAGCCTTGTGCTCCGAGCCCTGTGCCCCCTGAGCCCTGTGCCCCTGAGCCCTGTGCCCCCTGAGCCTTGTGCCCCCTGTGCCCTCCTGAGCCCTGTGCCCCCTGAGCCCTGTTCCCTGCAGACCTGTGCCCCCAGAGTCCTGTGCCCCCAGAGTCCTGTGCCCCCGCAGCCCTCTGCCCCGAGCCCTGTGCCCCCGCAGCCTTGTGCTCCGAGCCCTGTGCCCCCTGTGCCCTGTGCCCCTGAGCCCTGTGCCCCTGAGCCCTATGCCCCCTGCAGTGCACATCCCAGGGGCTCGGATGCTGCATGCATCTCCTGGTCCAGCTCCTCAGCCCGAGCCACACGCCTTCCTGGTTTATCTCACCACCCAAAGGCCCCACCTGCCTTTCTGGGGATCTGCCTCCATTTCAAGAACCTTTTCATGTCCGGCCACGCAAACCCCCAACACCTGATGCCTGACGCTTGGGAGCCGCTCACACAGAGACAGGGGGGCAGCACAGGGCGGGGAGCCTGGGCTCGCACAGGGACCGGGGGGTGGGGGGTGGGGGGTGGGGGGGGCAATGAAGTGGGACCCAGGGGCCACGGGCAGGGGTTCCAGAAGCGGAGAGGAAACTGAGGGTGTGATGTGGCCCTGCCTCTACACCCAGGCCCGGAGGGCAGAGCCAGGTGGGGGTATTGGGGGGTTGAGTGGACTCCACTTCAGGGCTTCCTGTGGTGATCCAAACCATCCCCGCACCCGACCCTGCCAACCGGGCAGATCCCAAAGTGACTCCTGCCCCCTGACCCTGGCCGCCCCACCCCACTCACCAGCGTGTGCCGCTTCATGTGCTCGCGCCGGGTGAACTTCTTCCCGCAGATCTCGCAGGGGTAGGGCCGCTCGCCCGTGTGGGAGCGCATGTGGCGCTTGAGGATGCACTGGTGCATGGCCGAGAAGCTGCAGTACGGGCACTTGAACTTCTTCCTGATGACCGTGAACTCATTGACTGGAAGACAGCACAGAGCGCATCACCAGCGGCCCTGCCCGCCCCCGCCCCGCCCACCGGCAGAGGCCAAAGGCAGCCACGGCCGCTCTGACACGCCAGCGTCAAACACACTGCACACGCAGCCCCAGCAGAAGCAGCATCCACACGGCGCGCCTGTGGGCCTGGGGCCCAGCCCCTCACCCTGCGGGCACCCGGCCGTGCTGCTGGTGAGGCTGCGAGGCATCCAGTGGGCACAGCGAGCGCAAGGCCGAGTGCCCACACGCAGAGAAAGTGAGCAGCCGCTGCCTGGACGAGGCTTGTCCCGCGCTCCCCCCACTTCACCAAGCCACGCCGCGGCCCAGGCCCGTGTCAGCCGCACACCAGCACGCAGCCTGCCCTCAGGCATCTCTCCCCACTTTCCTGGGGTCTCTCGGCCCCCCTGGGCACTGGGGCAGCTCATCACGACAGTCACCCCCTCTTGAGCCCACAGGGAGCCTTCCCAAAGGCCTCCTGGGTTCCTCCGGGATGACCCCAGCAGTCCAAGTCCTGCGGCCGCCTCTTCTCCAGAGGAGGAGCGGTGGCGGACACATGTCCCAGGTGTCTGGAGCGGCTTCCCAGGCCTGAGCTGGCACCCGCACCCAGAGGACAGGTCAAGAGCACTGGGCACAGCCAGAGGGGCTGCCGGGAGCCCACCCAGGAGGGCCAGCAGTCAGGGCAGGTGGCCTCCTGCTGCACCTTCAGACCCCTTGCAAACGTCCACGTGTGGCAGGCCTGGCTGCGGTCACAACGGCCCCAAGAGGCACTGGGAGGCAGACATGAGGACAAGCACCAGAGTCACAGCCGGGAGAGCAAGGCGGGGCAGGAACTGAGGTGACCCCCAGCCCTGGTCCTTCCCATGGGGGAGCCAGCCACCGGCTGGACAACGGACCAGGCGGCTTCCATGAGCCCCACCCCCTCCCCTGAGCCACCCACCACGTCCCAGAGGCAGGGCCCGATCCAACACCTCTGTGAAGTGCGCCCACGGCTCCCAGCTCCTTCCTGTTGCTTAGACTCTGGTCATGGCCGCACTGTGGACAGGCTGCCAGCTGACAGTGCAGAGCAGGGACCCCAGCACAGTGGTCCTTGTGTGGCAGCCCATTTCTGAAGCGTGTCTGTGTAAATCGGGGGAAACCTGAGTGCAGCGTTCTCGTTTGTTTCTTAAAGAAGCATCTATTTCCTCCGGGAGCTCCCCGAGGGGTCCACATAACCCAGCAACCAGACCCCACAGATTCGGGGCGAGACAGGAGACCGTCTGCCAGGGGCCCCGACCACATACCCACCCAGGACTCTGCTCTGTCTCCTGCACCCACGGCAGCCAGTGCGTGCCAGGGACAACCTCCTAGGAAGCAGGGCCCTGCCTGGCCACATCCTGCCTCACCTCCGAGCTATGACTGTCAGGTATGACACGCCTACTTGTGTGACACTAACCATTGCTCTAAACGTCAGGACCATTCCTACTGGTCACAGGGCCACTCAGTGTCTCAGTGCCCCCTTCAGTCTGTGCTTCTGTCCAGGGAGCATTCCTTTGGCCACAGGCTGCTGGTGCTTCTTGTCAGCTGGCCAAGTATTCTCTCACTTTTGTTTGTACCAGAATGTCTTCAGCCTTGATTTCTGAAGGATATTTTTGCTGAGTATAGAATTCTAAGTTGGCAACTTTTTTGCAGCCCTTTAATGATGCTACTCATTGTCTCGAGCTTTTGTAGTTTCTTTTAAATAGTGGGCTATCAGTCTGTTCTCTTGAAAGAAACGTCTTTATTCTCTGACTGCTTTTACGATTTTTCTTTTTGTCTTTTGTTTTCAATAGTTTGATCACAATGTACCCAGATATTGTTTTTCTGTTGCTATTCTTTTATTTGGTCTTCATTATACAATGCTTCTTAAAACTGTGTATTGATGTCTTTTATCAGTTTCGGAAAATTCTCAGCTACTGTCTCAGCTACTGATTCTGCTTCGGTTCATGTTTTCTCTGGAACTCCAATCACACAGATATTAAAATTTCTCACTGTGCTCATGCTTCTCTTTGTGTTTTTCTTATTCTTTCTCTTCTCCTGACTTTGGGTATGGATATTTCCCACTGCTCTGTCTTCCAGATCACTAACCCTACCTCGTGTTGTCTCCAGACTGCTGCTGAACCATCTGAGAATCATCAATGTCAAGTATTGTATTTTCAGTTTTTGAATTTCACTTCCTTCTTTTGTATAGATCCCAATCCTCTGGAAGTCCTCCACCTTTTAATCTGCATTTCACCATTTCCTTGAGTGTGTGGCTGAGGGTAGCTTCCAGGCCCAGTCTGATAACACAGTGTCTGCTTTTCCTGGTGGGGTTAGTCACATAGTTCTGTGACAGTGTACATTACCATTTTCTTGTGCAAAACACGGCTCCGTTCAGCTCACCATTTCCTGCTTTAACTTTTGAGAATTTGCTTGAGAAAACTCTGCAGTGAGAATTATTAGGAGCTTGTCCTTCACAGCCACCCCCTCAAGTCACCTGTGCTGGCAGCACCCAGCTGTGCATGGGGAGGGAAGCCCAGTGGAAGCTGGTCACAGTTGAAGCTGGAGGATTTAATAGTTTTCTTTAAAATAAATTAATGTGTTTTCTTTGGCACCTTAGTTTATGAAGCTGCCAAACTGACAGTGATCAAAACGGAATTATTTATTTTAAATGCAGTTGAAATTAGTAAGTTAACACACCCAAGTGTGTGGAGGAATCTTCATTCCCCCCCACAACACACACACACGATGTGGGGGAGACCACCCATCCACATTCTGTGGCAATGAAAGTATGCTGAGGAGCCTGAATGAATGTGCACATGAAGCAAACACATGAAGCAAGTCTCTGTGGCAGCGAGTCGGCCTAAATAAAGGATTACTCCTCATTGAAATTCTCTCTAAAGAGCAGTGTTACATTTTGATAAAAACCACTCTTGCCCTGGCTGGAGTCCCAGTGGTCAGAGCCCAGCCCAGCCCCGTGGACGCACGCAGGAGACAACCAACTAACGTCTCTCATGTCAGTGTTTCTCTCTCTCCCTCCCTTCTAAAAATCAAAGGAGCTGAAACCGTTTTTGGCTCAGTGGATAGAGTGTTGGCTTGTGGTCTGAAAAGTCCCAGGTTCGATTCCGGTCAAGGGCATGTACCTTGGTTGCGGGCACATCCCCAGTAGGGGGTGTGCAAGAGGCAGATGATTGATGATTCTATCTCATCGATGTTTCTAACTCTCTATCCCTCTCTCTTCCTCTCTGTAAAAAAAAAAAATCAATAAAATATATTGTTTTAAAAAATAAAAAATAAATAAAAATCAAAGGAAAAATATCTGTAGCTGATTAAAAAATAAAAACCTCTTGAAATCAAGTCGAGTATCAGTATTTCAATGAGAAATTCAATAACAGATGAAGTACCTAAATGAACCACTGAAAAATCCACATGTTGGATGACTGCACAGTTTTAAGGAAAATGAAGATACATATTAGAATGAAATCAAACAGCTACAGACACTAAAAATGTTTCTTACACCCCTCGCCATTTTGTCATCCAGCACAGACCTATTTCTTCTCTGTACAATAAAACCTCTCGACATTTTTTAATTGTCTTAAAAACTGAACCAAAGCTCTTTAGCCCAATAGCACGGTCAGACCCTCCACAATTCAGGTCCCCTCACCGCCCCATCCACACGCCATCTGACCAGGAGGACGTTTCCCAAGTGAGCAGGAAAAGCAGCCACAGGTGCACGCCAAGCAGCCAACGGAGGGATGATGGGGTGGCCCAGAGCGGCTTTCCATAGGCTGCTCCCGCCACGGGGACGAATGGCTGGAGACCCATCGTGACAAGCAAGAACAGAAGGATCGAGAAGTGGCATTCCTAGGCAGATGAGCACTTACAGAAGCCAGGCCTTTCCAAAGAGTGAGGTGCAAGGACTGACTGACCCGCCTTTTAGCTACTGGAAAACCGCTCCAGTCAGTTGCCTTAGCAACAACATAGTAAGCCTCACTGAAAAGCCGTCGTCAAGACGCTGATGAAGGTGAAGACGCAGCAGCATGGGGGAGGCAGAGGCCTGCAGGTGGGCCACGCAAGCAGGGTGGGGAGGGGGAGGACGGCCTCCCAGGCCGATGGGGCCACGCTTCTCCCTGGAAGCTCGCCCTCTCCAGATGGCTCGTGCTCTAGAACCTGGCGCGGGCCCTGCTTCTCTCTCCACGCTGGGTCCTGGAGCCCACCACGCCGCCCCGCTGCCTGCAGGAAGCAGGCGTGAGAACCAACATCCAAAGGAGGGGACAAGGGCACGCCCAGGGCGCTCTGTCCAGAAAGCTGTCATCCCAGGTGACTCTCCCAGGGTGTGCTCTTCACACCTGTGTGTTGGGTGACTCTCCCAGGGTGTGCTCTTCACACCTGGAGAGCAATGCCATGGGCATGCATCGAGGGCCAGGCGCCAGGCTTTGCCCTCAGATCTTTCTAGAAAGTACCTTGTGGAGAGTGGCGTTTCTCTGCATGCATCCCCGGGCCCTGTCACCGGGAGGCGAGTGCGCTGCCCTCTGCCAGGCAGACGGGTGTGGAGGCCTCCCCGCCGTCTCAGGGATTTGAGGAGCCAGCTTTGCAGCACAGGCAGCGAGTCCCAGGCCCGGCAGCACCCCCAGGTACCTGCCCAAGCCTCTGTCTGCAGGGAGGCACCCAGTTTCCCAGCCGGCGCTTCCTCACGGGTCAGGGCTGCCTCCAGCCAGGCCCGTGGGAGCCTCACAGCTGCCAGTCTGCAGGACGGACCCACATCCCGCACAGGAGGTGGCCTGCGAGCCCGGCCAGGGGCTGGCTGCAGCCAATCCAGAGGAGGCTCCAGCTCGGCCGGGCTCCAGGGCTCGAGAGGCATGGGCCATGGAGAGACACCGGTCCCAGTTGTGGGGATCCAAGGCCATTGAGGAGCCTGTTGAAGCACGTGCCAGTCACCCTTACTCACCACCCAGCCCATCACCACCGGAGGGCCCGGCACTCAGTGAGGCT